CATGCCCGACCGCTACGAGACCTTATGGGACCTCACTTGTCATTATCACATTGCTTTGGCGCAGTCTAAGCCCCTAGCGAAGAGGACCAAAGCAAATGTGAGCCTGAAGCAGTTCGCATCATACTTGTTCAGGAATCTGGAGAGCCATTCTGGCCAATCTATTTGTGAACTGGCACCGCTGACTCCTTCAGAGGTTAATGAGCTGCTGAATAAGACTAACGCCCAATCCTATACCATTAGCAGTTCCGAGAGCGGCTTTCCTGCAGGGACTAAATTCAGATCGTTCTTATATCATGCGACCACACCGATTCGTCCGATGACTCTCCTTGCCGGTTATCTCGCCATCTGGTTGAAGAAATGTGTGGTCCCGTATCAGTCTGGTGACGCTCTGCCACTGGAAGTGCTCTATCCTGCAGTTCAGCTTGCCTACAAGAAGGAACTTTCGCTTCTTCCGGTGATGGTTGCTAACATTCATCGAGGGCTTCGGCAGATTTCTGGTGCTTTTACACGGAGAGATGATGATAAACCGACTCAGATTCCTACCATTAAGGTAGAGCTCCCGTATATTTATTTGATGGCTTGGTTCGTTCTTCATCGTTCCGATGTGATGTCAGTACCGAATGCCATAGACCAGTCTGTCCCCTTTCTACAGTTGCTTGAGAATGGTGAGTGGGAGGGCCGAGGATTCCCCGATATCAGGCGTCAGCTACAAGTCCACAAGTGCTGGGCATTCTCCACTTGCTTTCCACAGTTCTCCAGCCGGTACGGCGAGTGTTTGATTGATGAGGAGAAGCCGAGGGAGTATAGGACTTATCTGGATATGGGCTGCTTTAATTGGCTAGTGAACATTAGGCCGGGTTACCTGACTTTCCGGGTGGGGAATCAGTGCTTCATAGAGCCGTATCTACCTTGCCGATTCGCCCGCCAGTTCGGTTATGACCAGCTTTATGTAGGGAACCCGCGCCAGCAGCTTCGGGCTCATGGAGGTCTGGTGGACGGTCTTCGTGCATGGTTGTGGACCGTGACTGGTTGCACTGGAGCTAGGTTCAGTCTCCCAGGTACTGAGCGACAGTTGAACCTCACTTTCCTGAGCTGCAAGTGGTTGCTAGCAGCTAATAAGACTGTCCGTGTGAAGCCTATCGAAGAGTTGGTGGCCGAAGAAGCCTCTCAGCTTGATTCTCGTGTTATCCAGGACGGTGCTCGATCACAGAGGGCTCAGGGCAAGACCCGCCGACTTGATGCAGAAGGTCACAGGGCCTTTAGTTCTGCTGGAGAGGCCTCAGGCGGAGACCCTGAAGACTACGAGGCAGATTTGGAGCAAGGTTAGTCACCTATCTTTCTTTTTCCCTGCATTTCCAAATTGCTATTTCTGACCACTATTCGATGTTTCAGGGACAGCGATCAACAGTGACGACGAATTCCGTCCTTTTACCCGGGCAAGACCTTCGATTGCTGTCCGTGCTGATAGGCGGAAAAGATTAGCCCACAAGCCGCATGCAAATTCACGAGCATCTGAGATGGACTTGGCTGATGAGGATCCTGTTAGTGACGGAGGTAACGTCTATTCTATAGATCATTTTCTTGATCGTTTAGAACTTCTGGCTCATGCTTTCCCATCCTATGCAGGATATCGTGAGGAAGGCGAGATGAGTCCTGATGATTGTGCATCTCCTGGTGAGCCTGACTCACCGCCCCAGGTAGAAAAGCCTGCAGAGACCGCCCATGTTGGGGAGTCTGTCAATGAAGGACCCAGTTCGGTGATTCCAGGTACATCTTCAAGAGGTAACTTGTCTCTATTGGCCATAGTTTCCTTCCTCTTCCCTTATATCTTTTTATGTCAGATTTTTCGATTGATGACTTCGATGGGGAGGGCCTGCCTGTGGACACTTCTATGTTCAACTTCATGTATGATTCTCCTCAGATCGATGGCCAGCCGCCTCAGGATATGTTTCCTGAGTCTGTACTCCCTCAGACTCCCGGAAACTGTTATTTTGAAGGTGCATGCCTCTTCTCAAACTAAATATAGGACTAGCCAATTCTTTGACTAATGCAACTATAACATGATGTTTCTGTTTTGTGCCTAACAGGAGCTTTCGCTGAGACTGACCCTGTTGAGCCAGCTGTGCGACGAACTCCACCAGTCGATGCAGCTACAGTCGTTACACCTCCACTACCCCCAGTGACTCGAGGGGAAGGAGGTATAATTTAATTAACTGAGTAATGCTATTCATTTCCTCATTGAGGCTTTTGACGAATTTCTCTTCTTTGTGTAGGGCTTCCTTCTCAGCTTCATGTCCTCGTTAAGGAGTTGTTATCGGGGAATGACCCTGAGAAGATCATCATCAGCGTAGAAGTCCGCTCTTATTTCTCCTCCCTGAATGCTATAATTGGCAAACTCCTCCACGACAGACTTTCTCTTCGCCAGTTTAAACCCTACCTTGATTCCAAGGTAAATTTAATAAGGGACATGGGATACCCGGACCTAGCGACGGCTATGGTTGATGACCTTGATCGCTTAGAGCGTGAGCTTCAGATGTTTCATGAGCTCCGGGATGCAGGTGCCTCTTCATTCATTGCTGCCGAGTTGGATGCTCGTTTACAGACATGGCGTAGTACTCGGATGGTTGCTGAGCTCGAGGTCCAGGTGCAGCGGGGCCGAATAGATCGAGTTGAGGCTGACCTTGCCACTAGATCATCTTCACTTGATGAGCTTGATTCTCAGATAGATCAGCTCCGGCGAGAACTCCGTGAGAAGGAGGACGCGAAGATGCACGTTCAGCAAGCACATGCTGCTTTATCTGATGAGCTGAAGTCCTTGAAGCAGACACTGGCTGAGACAGAGGAGGTTGCTGTGAGGACTTTAGCCGCGAACGAAGAGTCTGTCAGAGCTGAGTTGCAGGAGGAGCTTAGACGCTCTTATGATGAGAAGCTGTCTGAATTCAGTCAGCAGGTTCTTAGCCATGGGCTTGATGTATGATTTTATTTGCTGAAAACCTTGACATTTGATTCTCTTTAGTGGGCCTGATTTTTGTCTTTATCTTTATTATGATTCCTCATTCCGTTTGAAATGATTGACCATAATACTCATAGGATTTTTGGCAAACCCCCAGCCTTCAACGGGTTTGATTAGCCTTTACCGACTACCGTTTGAGTCGGGCTAGCATGCGGATTGTCTAAATCCGTTCCGCATGTAACGTTGTGCTAAGAGAGTGAATTCTCTGAGACTTTGTGCTATGATGTCGAATACATAGACTTCGCCGTTGTTACGGGAATAGGCTACCCGGCGACACGTGTTAGGTGTTGACTTTAGGATTTTTGGCGAACCCCCAGCCTTCAACGGGTTTGATTAGCCTTTACCGACTACCGTTTGAGTCGGGCTAGCATGCGGATTATCGGAATCCGTTCCGCATGTAACGTTGTGCTAAGGGAATGAACTCCCTTAGACTTCGTGCTATGATGTCGAATACATAGACTTCGCCATTGTTACGGGAATAGGCTACCCGGCAACACGTGTTAGGTGTTGACTTTATCCCTACTTAGGCTTCGGGATAAAATACCCCAGAATCGGACTCTGGTGTCTTTTTGTTCGGAAAAAGACTAAACCGGCGACGCGTGTTAGGCGTCGGCATATCCCTTCTTAGGATTCAGGATGACATTCCCCATGCGTGTAAGGCATGGATTTTGGTGTTATTAATAACAACCTGCCACAATGTTGAATATGTGAACGGGTGTTCTTTTTAAACGGTTAAGAAGAATCGGACTCTGGTGTCTTTTTCTTCGGAGAAAGACTAAACCGGCGACGCGCGTTAGGCGTCGGCATATCCTTTCTTAGGATTCAGGATAAAATTCCCCATGCGTGTAAGGCATGGATTTTGGTGTTATTAATAACAACCTACCACAATGTTGAATATGCGAACGGGTGTTCTTTTTTTAACGGTTAAGAACTAACCGGCAGCGCAGGTTAAGCGCAGACTTATCCTTATTTAGGTTTCAG